TACATATATACATACATACATGTGTACATACATTAACTCGTTACGCTGTATCTGGTGCATCCGACATCCCTGCAGCACATGTTCTGTCCGCGGATCGCATGTCAGACAGGATTCCCGTTCACGCTTCGAGCGTGTCGGGCCGATTTTGCGACTGCAGCATTCGCCATCGTTGTTACGGCAGTTGTTGTCATAGTCGATGTTGCTGTTGGTCTTTGCGTACATGTGCCACAAATCACGCCGACAACGCGACTACCGCGGTAATTTTGGCTACCACTGCTACAAGATACTGGGAGTACGAGTCATGTAGGGGCCTTAATAAGTAGAATAGGGTTTTGGGGTTCCTTATTATAGTTATAGTATAATATACCCCCAAACCCTCTTCTAATTATTAAGGCCCCGACGGGGCTAAGTCTCAAAAAGCGACCTGAACACAGCCATCGGCCAGTGCCAGCGACGACACCCTGTGACATTCCGACGGGTCCCCCTCCAGGCCAAGCTGCACAAAGCGAGGGATCGACTGGCCTCGGGCAAAGTCCGCCGCGGTCCAGCTCCGAGAATTGCGGAGGTCCAGTCTCGCGCCGGCCGTGTCGCGCCGGCCGCGATCAGCGCCGCGGCGGAGAACTGAGCCGACATGATGGCCTCCATAAGCGGCGTGCTGCCATGTGCATGATAAGCACCGGCTGTCAAAACAGTCTTCCGGCCGAAGCGGTGCTGGAAGGCCTTCCCTGCAAAGAGCAGCCCAGTGGCCTGCAGTCACGCACATTCATCTGAAAGTCGACGGCACGGAGAGCGATCAACCGCTGTACCTCAGCCGAAGCACCTCGGAAGACCGTGGCAGACCAGAGTGCTCGCGAGAGTTCCAGCGAACTCGTCAATATCCGCTTTACAGCATCCTGCAGCGTGCGCATCTGCCTGAACTCTGGATCCGGGTGCTTCTTCGTAAGCCACTGGTGCGAAACGAAAGCCGCCTTTCCCAATTCGTCGCTGAAGTCCACGAGCTTGCCACAGGCCTCGAAGCAGAATGGGTACGGAACCCAAAGAAACCCGAACAGTTCTGACTGTCCAGCATTTAGAGGTGCGATCGGGACTTCGAGCCACGGACAGAAGGCGTAGAGTTTAGAGTTTGGGATCTAGGCGTGCGCACATCTTCTGCAAATTGTTGCCGGGGTTCCCACGTGCTACGACCCACACGAAACCACAACCGAACCACACATGCTCCCCGACTAAACTCTCAAATTCCGAATTTGCCTCCGGCCTTCAAATCCTCGTGCGGCTCGACCTTCGTCATCTTCAAAAGCACGTCTGCGGCGACGGTGTACATGGGGAAGAGCATCGGTGCAGCCTGAGCCATCCGATGGGGCAAGCAACCACCCATCGTCGCCCGACCAAACCCAGAGAACCCAATACACCTTAATTAAGGAATATACCTCCAACTACAGGGGCCTTATTATTACGATTTAAGCTAGATTCCTTAATTAAGGGGTATTGGGTTCTCTGGGAACTGATGAGTGCAGCGGAGGTCGACAAAATCATGAAACAGACGACGATGACAATGCCGACTAGTGAGTAACCAGGAACATCGCAGCATTTGCAGAGATAGTGGGAACAGGAGTAGCGCCGCTAGCTGCAAGAGTAGCCACAGCAGCAGCACCACCAGTGGGGCAGGGAGAGGGAGTTGGAGTGGCCGTCCCGCAGCCGCAGCAGTAGCAGTAGCAGCAGCAGTGGCAGTAGCAGTATAAGTAGCAGAGGCAGCAGCAGTAGCAGTTGCAGCAGCAGCAGCAGCCGTAGCAGTAGCAGAAGCAGTGGCAGTGGCAGTGGCAGCAGCAGTAGCAGTAGCAGTAGGAGTAGTACTCAGTCGTAGTAGCTGTAGGAGTAGGAGCAGTTCAGGAGCAGGACCAGGAGTAGCAGTAGTGGTAGCAGTGGCAGTGGCAGGAGTAGAAGTAAGAGTAGGAGTTGTAGGAGGGGAGGAGGAGGCAGCAGCCTATTTTCGGTTGCTCCTCACTGGGGCCCTCCCGCTCACGCGGCACCCGAGCTCTGACCTGCAAACCTCCATCGCTTCCACGTGTCCACAGCGTGAGCAATGAGACCTGTGTTGAGGCCCGTCCGGACGACTGGGCATCGTCATCCCCTCCTCCTCGGCCACCTTTAAGGGCATCCTACGTGCCGATGTGAAGGATCTCCGCGGGATACACTCCATCCGGCTTGATGTAGTCGTAATGGATGCCAGTGTAGCACAGAGCAACAGGGTAAGGCCCGACACCAAACTTAATTGGCTGGTGAAGCACGTTCCTAGGAATGACGTAGATCGTAAGCCCAAACAAGTCGGCAGCTGAGGCCAGTTCCAAATTGCCCACCCAAGCTCCGCCAGCTTGGTCTTGCCGTCCGGATCCAGCGCGTCCCAAAACTCAGAAAGGCGGGATTTGTGCTTGTCGCGAGACATGTAGGCAACCATCTCAGCGCGAAGCTGAGACGCGGGGACCGGTGATTTGCTCTGCTTCTGAACCGCGATGCCTTTGCCGAGACTGGCAACCAGACAGTTTCCATCGCCCGGCACAGCATCGAGGGTGCAACCTTCCGGCAGCTTGCGAAACAGCGACGAACAGAGGGGTCCGTGAGGAAGGACCTCGCCGCTGGGAAGCTGTGGCCGGCGTGATCCAATACTGATTTTTCTAGCCATCCTCCTCGACTCGCACCAACGTGAAGTTCTGGGCCAAGGCCCTTCGGAGCATCCATGTGGCCCGACCCCGACGCACAATCTTGGAAGTGATCTCCACATTGGCAATGTCGGCCTGCTCAATGATCAATTCCTGCACCACATCCTGAGTCCAGTGGACGGGCGTACCCTGGGGGCGCCAAGCGCGCACAGCCTGAGCAGCCTCAACGGTGACTCGAACCGCAAGCTGCCTGGACCCAACAGCGAGCCCCAAAGAGCCCTTCTGCTTGAGAAGACGCTTCAGGTAATCGGCGTCCTCCTCCTGAGCTTGCTTGGCTTGCCGCTGGATCTGCGCCGGCATCCTCATCCCAGAGGTGGGCTCGTAGAAGACCCCATCTTGACCCGACGATTTTAAGAGTGCGTCTACCGCAGCCCCCTCGTTGACGTTTCTCCTCAGCCCAGCCCCAGGTGTCCTTGAGAGCACTGCATCGGAGCTGGACAAACTTCTTAGAATTCGCACGCGCCTCCTGGAAAGCTTGTGGCGTGAGGAAGGCCTTGACGATGATAACTCGGAGCACAACAGTCCTTGCTTCGAGCTTCTTCGTCTTCCCAGTCAGCTTCTTTAGCGCAGGCAGCGAACTGATGTATCAATCGTACACACTCGCCTGGGCTGCATTTTGCCCTTGGAGTGGAAGGGAACCTGGACAGTCCCATCACGATCCTCCCAAAGGATGCTTCGTGAGCACTTCGGGGGCAACCTGGGCGGCGAGAAGGTCGGCCGCCTCGGCCTGCTCCCGACCCGACACATGAACCAGCAGTGGGCCAGTGCCAGTGTAAGTGGCAAGCTCACCGTAAGGCACAACGTCACCAGACCAATCATCCTTGTGCAAAACAAGCGCTGGCTGGGCCCCCGCAGGAGTGCCACCCGGAGTGGCGGGAGACGGCGATTGTGGCTTCACTTTAGCCTTTGGTTCCAGCTTTGGAGTGGCTTTGGCCTTTGGTTGGCCATTCACACCCTCAGACACAGTTCCAATGCGTGCCGGTGGTGGTTCGGCAGGTCCCTGCGCCATAAGAGGCGGTGCACGTGGCGGTGCATTCCCCTTCTTGGGCTTTCGCGGCTTGCGTTTCGGATTAGCGGTGGCCTGCGAGGCAGTATTGACTCCAGGCTCTGAGGCAGACAACCCGCTGCTGCGTAGAAGCTGCTGCAAGCCTGCAATGCCACCTTGATTGCCCATCAGCAAAGAGAGGAGCGTGACAAACCAACACTCCCTGCAACAATGCCTCCATTTGCTTACGCTGCTGAGCGGCCTTCCCCCCAGGGCCTGGGTGGCTAGCCTCCCCGACACGCTGAGCAATGCATCGACGCTTCAGGACGAAAGCGCCCCATGCATAAACATGACTCGCTGGGGACCCGACAAAAGGCCCATCGCCAGCGAAAGAATCCTGAAGCAGAGGAGCCTTGAAGGCCCGAAAATGCAACCTCATCAAAGTTGTCACACAGATTGGCGATACAGGAAAGTTCCACCTGACAACGTCGTCAGCAAGAATTGGCTTCTCCACAATAGTTAAAAGCTCTCCTGTAACCAGCTCGACATGAGCCACGATCAGAAGAATGAAAAGCCACTGAAGCACATGGACAACACCCTTGGACGAAAGGTCGAGGCCCATGGAATCCAGCAACGCATCAGCGGAAAGTGTAAGGCCCTGGCAAACTTTCGCAGTTAGGCTCCACTGGGAAGCCCACCCCGCCCCGACGGAGGCCAAGCAGGTGGCCAGGACGTAGTTTGCATGGGAGCGAGGAGTAGGAGCAGGAGCAGGAGTAGGAGTAGGCGTAGTGGCAGTAGTGGTCGTCGTCGTCGTAGTCGTAGTCGTAGTAGTGGTAGTCCTAGTGGTAGTAGTGGTAGTAGCAGCAGTCGTCGTCGTCGTCCTGGTAGTAGCAGTAGATGATGATGATTCTGAAGACGACGATGATGATAATTGATGACGATGCTGATGCTCCTGATGATGATGCCGGAGTAGGCACAGCACAATAAGAGGCCGGTATTCAAGCCACAAAAGCCCTCCCAGAGAACCCAATACACCTTAATTAAGGAATATGCCTTAAATTATAGGGACCTTGATAATATGATTTAAGGTATATACCTTAATTAAGGATACCCAAAGCCCTAAACCCTAAACCCTAAACCCTGAATATTATGGGTTCAAGGTATATGCCTTAATTAAGGGTTATTGGGTTCTCTGGGCTTCTGGATGAAGGGCGGCTTGCACCCTAAACCCTAAACCCTAAACCCTAAACCCTAAACCCTAAACCCTATCGGAGCAAACAGGCTTCTGCAGGTTTCCCTTTGGCAAAAGTGCCCTCAGAGCACAGAGGCCGCAGGGAGCCCTGACACCACGGTTTAGGGTTTAGGATTTAGGGTTTAGGGTTTAGGGTTGCGTTCTTGTTAAGGGATTTAAGTTGAGTTACTATACCCGGGATCTAGACAGTAGTAAATAAGAGGGTTTCGTTAGTACGGTAGCTTAAGCTAAATTCCTTAACAAGAACCCAGTATATCATGCCCAGGGGCATCTGCACCGTCGGGCAGCGACTGAGCATAGATCCCCAGAGGCATCCGGGACTTCCCGGAACCGCGGCAAGCCATGGCATGCGAATGGCGTTTTGGGTTTTGGGTTTAGGGTTTAGGGCTCCAACTTTTGCGAGAGAGCCAGGAGCCAAAAACTACGAAGCGGAGAAACTCCAAGTGCCCAGAGAGCAAAGCCGCCCACATAAGTGTTACGAGATGCCAAGAGAGCCCAACACCCCCTTTATTAAGGAATATACCTTAAATCATAATATCAAGGCCCCTATAATTTATGGTATATTCCTTAATTAAAGTGTATTGGGTTCTCTGGGTGATGGCCCCAAACCCTACTTGGAGGATCATGGCACTTAGTAACTGCGGTTATAAACAAGGTAACTATACTCATAAGTGATTATAACCCCAATAAAGGTAGTTATAACCTACTTATAGGTAATTATAACCCCAATAAAGGTAGTTAGAACCTTACTTACTAAGTCCCATGATCCTCCAAGTATGCCCTAAACCCTAGACCTTATAGAGCCCTTATATATAACCCTTTAGGAGCCCTTTAAGGGTGCCTTTAAGCGGTTTAGGGTTTAGGGTTTAGGGTTTAGGGTTTAGGGTTTAGGTTACTAAGTCCCATGATCCTCCAAGTATGCACCTGGCCTCGCACAAAGCTCGCTGAGCCCGGCGCTGGACCTGGCAACGGACGATGGATTCAGGTTTTTAGGCTTTGAGGGTTTGGGCTTAGGGTTTAGGGTTTAGGGTTTAGGGTTTAGGGTTTGGGGTTTGGGGTTTGGGGTTTAAGGGTTAGGGTTTTGGGATCAATGTTAACAATACAAGTAGTAGTGTTGTATAGTGGCAAAATTCCATACTAGTCTATGGCGGTCAGCGCAACAGCGATGAATATGATAATCGGACGAGTTGCCGATCGATAGTACTAGCTTATAAACTCCGCGAGTACAAACATCTAAACACGCGCAATAAAGATGCGGAAGATTAACGTTGGGATCTTCTGCCCAACCGGTGCTGCCTCTTTCTGCGGAGCTGCTGAAGCAAAGTCTTCCTCGACCAATTAATAAATCACCGATCTCCTCTGGGTCTGGAACCCTGGAATTAGGGTTAGGCTTTGGGGTTTAGGGTTTAGGGTTTAGGGTTTAGGGTTTAGGGTTTAGGGTTAGGCTTTGGGGTCTAGTTAGGGTAACCCTTATGGTTATCGTAACCTTTAGGGCCTTTAGGGTAAAACCCTTATAGTAACCCTTCTTGTAGTAGCCCTTAGAAAGAGACCTTATAGTAGGCCTTCGTAGCGCTTATAGAAGGGGGGAGGGTTCATCGGTTCCAGGCGATTCCCTAAACCCTAAACCCCTAAACCCTCAACCCTAAACCCCTAAACCCTAAACCCTAAACCCTCAACCCTAAACCCCTAAATCCCTAAACCCTAAACCTTCAACCCTAAACCCCTAAACCCCGAAACCCTAAACCCTAAACCCTAAACCCGAAGTCGGCAAGTTGCCAGCAGGGCTCTCCGAGCAGGCTCACTCTGGCTTTGGGTTTGGGCTTTAGGGATTTTAGGGTTTAGGGTTTCGGGTTTGGGGTCTGGGGTTTGGGTTTTAGGGATTTTAGGGGTCCCTTTGTTAAGTGTAGTGGCCTTTTCGGTTTAGGGTTTAGTCTGGGAGTCCAGACACCGAGGAGAAAGAGCTGCGTGTATTCAGGTATCACGCTCGCAGTTCTGAAACCTTAAGACTGGATGAGCATGCTTGCCGCAAATGGTGCCACCAGGAAGCTATGCCCTCGCACTTTCGGGAGGGTTCCGCCAGCTGGATGGCATTGAAAACTTGCAGCGCAACACAACGCAAGGACACCCTTCACTTCTCTCCGGAAACTACGCTATGAAGAGGTGCCCTTGCACTTTCTGCGGGGTCTGTCCCGATTGAAAACGTACAATTTCACCACAGCAGAGCCAAATGACTGCGCAAGCTATTCACTTGGGAAGCTGCATCATGAAGCTGTGCCCCCAGACTTCCGCAAAGGTTCTGCCGTCTCCGCTCTGTAAAAATCAAATTTTGTCAAATCGTAAAGCAGCCGGCCGACACTGCGAGTGAGGACACTCTTCGGCACTCCGACGGGTCTCCCTCCAGGCCCAGCTGCAGAAAATGCGGGATCGACTGTCCGCGCGCAAAGTCCGCCGCGGTCCACTTCCGACAATTCCGGAGATCCAGTCTGGCGCCGGCCGCGATCAGGGCCGCGGCGGCCTCGTGTTGGGCCGACCGGATGGCCTGCATCAACGGCGTGCTGCCATGTGCATGATAGGCGATGGCCGTTAGGGCAGTGGTACGGCCGAGTCGGTGCTGCAAGGACTTCGCTGCAAGGACCAGCCGGCCAAGCCTCTTATAGTCACGTGGCACATTGGATTGGAAGTCGACATCCGCGCGGAGGGCGATCAACCGGTGCACCAGCTCAGCCGAACCGCCCCGCAAAAGCGTGGCCTCGAAGAGCGCCCGAGAAAGATCCAGCGAGCCTGGCCTGCCCTGAACCACCAGCTCCTCTAGGGCCTCTGTAGCTGCAAGGGCCGCCGAGCACTGCAAGCAACTGGGGCCAAGTAGATTACGGGCCAGCGGACCGGCACCCCATGCACGGAGCTGCCGGATACCTTCCGCGTTCTCTCCAGAGGCCGCGTGCAGGATCGCCGGTGCTGTTCCGCCCTCAAGGCTGGCTCTTGCCTCGAGAAGCAAGCGTGTGGCCGCCGGGTGCTTGAGAAACACTGCCTGGGCTTGGAAGTAACCAAGGAGAAGAAAGTATAGACTTTTATTTCATAATGCTTCCTTTAAGGAACAGGTCCCCCAAAAAAAGTATTAAAGTCTAGCACTCCAAAGCCCAGCTGCTAAATCCAAAGCCGACATCCACGGGGGAAAGCCCAGCAGCGGCTCATCCTTCCATGTGCGCCGGTTCATCTCGGCGCGCTTCTCCAGCAGGCCTCGCAGTACTTCTGCGTTGCCGCCCAGTGCCGCGTAGTGCAGAGGCCGCCACCCAGCGCTGTCGGCAGAGCCAACCGTCCTCAAACCGTTTTGGTGTAAGAACTCCGCCACCACATCATCACCACCTTCACAGCTGGGTAGCAGGCCGGCCACTGGCGCAATCTCAAGCCCCCGCAAATACACCGTTTGGAGGTTGAAATGGCGCCGGAATCCGGGCAGGTCGCCCACACGCAGGCAGTGGTTCAGCTTCTGCATGAGGATCTTCCGCATCACCGGGGCCAGCTTCTGTCGATCCTCCGCGACCCCGAACTCGCCTTCCCCTACAGCCCCGGTAGGAAAGGATAAGAGTGTGCCAACCGCTTCAATGGAAGTCTCGCTTCGAATAAGAATCCAAGTATTATTTGGCGACAATTCACGTGCTGCTCGTTCTAGGCGACACCACCCTCTGCTGCTCCAGGTCGTTCATTCATTCATGCATTGTACGTCAACCTGCGCCGTACCCGTAGGTTGGTAGTTTAGACGCCCTCCGGGGCGGAGAGCCGCAGCTCTCCTCATTGCTGTGCCCTGCTCCAGCGCAGGGGAGTAGTCATAGGCGAGCTGGGACCACGAGTGCCAAAACATGACACTGGGCCCCTTCCGTTGACAAAAGCCTAGCCTAAAGTCAGGAGGCAAAACCAAACGCCCCAAAGGAAAAGACTTGCGGCCCGCAGTGGCATCAGACAGATTGGGTCTTCGCAAGGCAGCCTAAGGGGGAACCAAAAGGGAGAAGGACTAAACCGAAAAGGGTCAAATGGGAGCCAAGGAGCGTCACGCGGTGCGGAGCTCTCCGATGGCACGTTTCATCAAGTCGTGATAAGGCTCAGTGGCCTCATGCTGAGCATCAAAGGCAGCGCCGCCCCAATCGACGGCAGCGTCGTAGCGGTCACAAGCAGATTGCCAAGCGGCCCGCAGCGGCGTAAGCAGCGTAGTGCAGCGCGCATCGGCTTCACCGTTGAGAGTCCTAGCCAAGGCGGTGTGGGCAGGATTGTCAGCCTGCCACCTCAGCTGCTTGCCGTGTGAGGGCACCCATTGCACTTGCAAATTCTCACGCACAACGTCAGCAACAGCAGTCCAAAACCCAGGATTGGAGCCGGCCCAAGAACTGGCATGTAGCCCCCTCCGTAGGCGCA